CAATAAGCATGTCGCCAACAATTCCTGCGCAAACTTTAATTGAAAATCTTTGCTGGAAGCTATAGATTCACTTTGTAATAATGGGAATTCATTAATCTTTTCTGGAAGCTCGATTGACTTTGATATAATGTCAAATCATTAAAACATATTTTTGCCTATTATTTCGAAAATGAAACATTTGCGACCCCTTATTCATAGGAATTTATTTTTCTTATTTTTGGTCCTGGAACACGCACACGAAGTTTGTAAAAATACTTCTGACTCACCCTGTGTGTGTGTGTGTTGGTACAAACATTACTGCAACAACTTGTTAAAACTGCATAAAGTAATTTCCATTGATTATTGAAATTAATTTCTACAAAATATTGATATCTATTAAAATTAAGTTATGTCCATTATTTATTATGTCATCACTTTCAGTAAGCACCTATTCTCGCAGAAAGAGTAGTCAACTGACCCTGACCATTGACCTTATGAAACCAATGCAATGTATACCTCACTTTAAATTGAAGAGTTGGCATTGCTGTGCCATTGTTTCAGTCAGCATTGTAAAGAATATCATAAAAATTGTAATATATGTTTACTGAAAAAATTACCACGTGCTGCTATTAAATAGCTATTGCACCTTATCTTGTATGATAGAGTTTACGTTGAGCTAACCAATCTGTTTTAGAACTAAGTACAAGGTTTAATAAGTGGATAGGTAAATAATTGTATACATTTAGACTACGGAAATGTTGGTGTACGCTGCATCTTGGTTGTGGGCTTTAGTTTGTTTATCTCAGAATTCAAAGAAGGGTTTCTAAAGATATTTAATAACTATTTGTGGTGTGTTCCAGCATTTTTGGTCCTGGAACACGCACACGAATTTTTTTAAAAATACTTCTGACTCACCCTGTGTGTGTGTGTGTGTGTGTGTGTGTGTGTGTTGGTACAAGCATTACTGCAACAACTTGTTAAAACTACAATAAGTAATTAATAAATAATAAGTAAATATTGATATCTATTAAAATTAAGTTATGTCCATTATTTATTATGTCATCACTTTCAGTAAGCACCTATTCTCGCAGAAAAAGTAGTCAACTGACCCTGACCATTGACCTTATGAAACCAATGCAATGTATACCTCACTTTAAATTGAAGAGTTGGCATTGCTGTGCCATTGTTTCAGTCAGCATTGTAAAGAATATCATAAAAATTGTAATATATGTTTACTGAAAAAATTACCACGTGCTGCTATTAAATAGCTATTGCACCTTATCTTGTATGATAGAGTTTACGTTGAGCTAACCAATCTGTTTTAGAACTAAGTACAAGGTTTAATAAGTGGATAGGTAAATAATTGTATACATTTAGACTACGGAAATGTTGGTGTACGCTGCATCTTGGTTGTGGGCTTTAGTTTGTTTATCTCAGAATTCAAAGAAGGGTTTCTAAAGAT